AGAGACAGAGTCAGGGCATTCCGGGGCTTCCACCCAGAAGTGAGATGGAGTTATGGCTGACATGAATTCTGGTCTGGGGCTCTGCTGGAACGAGGAAGCCATGCCCTGGGCAAATGCTTGAGCAAGTAACGCTTGAAGCTGTTCTGGCCACACCCCCTGATGTTCAGTGGAACGAAGTCCGGCCGCTGTGGGTATGAATATGGCCTCTGGGGCCGACTGGACCCTGGGCGAAGGAGCCACCCATTGGGGGCTTGGCCCCTGACTGAGAGGCAGAACTTCTCCTGCCCAGCTTCACCTTCCGGAGACCAGGCCCACTGAACTAGGGAGCTGGATGGGGCAAGTTGTGGGTTAAAGAGTGAACCCCTGTGTGGAACTGGGGAAGCCTGGGCCGTCCCACTTGTGTTCAGCTATTGAACCTTGGAAAATTGCTTCTCTAAGGCTAGATGTCTCCTGCTGGCCTCTTTCTCAGCTGCCTTAGAGGGCTTTTTTCCAGAGATAGCTTTGGCCTTAGCCTTAAGCTTTCCTGCAGCCTCCAACTTGGAGGACTTGTGGTTCTCTGGAATGGAAGTGCCAGGAGCACCTTGCACGGTCTGAGATGCCACGTTGTCCACCATCAAAAAAGGAGATGTCTCAGTGGTGTTCTGAGAGGTATCTCAAGGAATGGGAGCAGAGCACTAGGATGTGACTATGCGTCAAGCCACTGGAAGCCAGTGATTGCTCTAGGGGACGGTGGTTGCTGGATCAACTTAATGGACCCTCACACACCTGTAATGCTTCAGATAGCTGACAAGGCCTGATAGTGCACTCACAGCAGATTTCGCAAAGACAAAGAAACGCTGACTGCGCGGTCCCCAAAATGGTGGCTGTGACTGGTGCGCCAAAAAAGGGGATTGCAGCAGAGGCTGGAGGCCAATGCTCAGCTGGTCTAGCGAAGGCCGCCGGTTCTCTGCCGGGAATGCTGAGCTCAAGGGAATGCTGACCGCGCAGTCCCCAAAATGGCGGCTGCGACTGGTGCACCAAAAGCAGGGCTGCGATGGAGACTCTGAGGCCGACTCTCAGCTGGCCGACGCTCAGCTGGCCTAGTGAAGACCATCGGTCCTCTCCCGGGAGCGCTGAGCTCAGCACTGAATGAATGGCCTGTTTGCTCTGTTCAATTTGGTTGAGGGCAAAAAGGAGGAGAGGAAAAAAACTGCTGGACAGTTTGAAACAGCACTGATCCCAGTGCTGTAATAGAGTGAATGGGGAGTCCACGAAGGGGAAATAAAGAGATATACAACCTGCCCAAAAGTCTGACAAGGGAGCCAACCATAATCCTGTCCTGCTGGGCTGAAGACTAAGTCATGACTGGGTGGGACTTAAGCCCAGCAGGAGGCGTGGCAACTTTGTCAGACTTAGTCTAATTGGGCAGGAAGACAGTCTAAACCAGGGCTTTTCAACCAGTGGTACAGGTACCACCTGTGGTATATTGGCACCTGGCAGGTGGTACGCGAATATCCTAGAAAAGTGGTAGTGGGGGAGGAGAATAAGTTGAACCAGTGGCAGCACCACACAAGCCTGAGAAAGAGATGACTAGAGCTGCAGGGCTGTAAGGGCTCAACGGAAGCACCAGGATCAGCGCCAGGCTCCAGCTGGAGCTCGGCACTGATCCTGGTGCTTTTGCTGAGCCCAGAAGAAGCGCCGATCAGTTGGAATGTTGCAGCATCTCCAGAGTCTTGTGATTTACATTCAGATGCTTGGCAATTGATTCATATTTATGATAGTCACAGTGTCCCTGGGTCATCTGAAGTGACCAAAACCTGCTGCAACCATCCAGCAGACGGTGGGAATAAAAACCAAACACCCCCTCACCCCATCCCCACTGCCAATCCTTAACAGAAATGCTCACAACAATGGAAACCTCAGACAGGAGGAAGAGCACCACCGGGTGGGCAGGCAGGTGTCTTGCTCGGCTGTGGCTTGGGGAGCACTTTTTTCAGTGTCATTATAACTTTGAATAGTCACTAAGCAAAGTGTTGTAAGTCGAGGAGTACCTGTACTTTATCACTTTTTTCCTTTTTTTTTTAGTCATCAAGTTTTTGACACCTTGCTAGGCGACTGGTGGTACTCAGATATTGCCATATTCTAAAAGTGGTACAATGGGTGAAAAGGTTGAAAAGCCGTGGTCTAAACCCATTCGTGGATTCTCCATCCTCATGCTGGAGAACAGGAAATTATAACATAACAGATTCAATCTCTACAACCCAACCCCCTCTTCTCAAAGTAAATTACCATAATTGTGCTGGAATTGTACAGACATTTGTTTATAAGTCTTCCTGTAGCCAGAATAGGGAAAAGAAAAGAAGTACAGAAATCTCTCAGGTCTGATCCACTGAGTCTTTTATTCTATTCAGTGTCCTGTTTTAAAGTCACCAGAAGATTTCCCTCATATATCATAAATGTGCAGGAGCTTTATGTACTGTGCCTGTTTTGGTGAGATATCTTGTCCTTAAATAAAATTTTAAAAGTTGGGAAAATTTGTTTTCTAGGAAGGGAGCAATCAAGGTATCATATTTTCAAAAAGTTTCCTAAACAATCCTTGGGTAGGCTAGAAAACTCTATCAGGTTTGTGTAAGGCCAAACTGCCTCCCTGGGAGGTGGGAAAAGCTAATCTTTCTAACGTCAGGAATATTTGGGTGCTTAATCACTTTATTTCCAGTGGAGATATTTTTTTTGGCTGCTAAATCGTCTCTTCCCAACAAAACAAAACCCAGAGCTCCTTCAGAAGGAACTGCAACGAAATCCATAGATAGGCTGTTGACTGAACAACTGGCCTGACCAAGGAAAAGTCTTTAAAAAGGGAGGACATTGAAGAGAAAAGAAGAAAGGAGGTATATCGTTCAAAACAATTCTGCAAAGCAAGCCTAATATTTTGGCCTGAGGCTAGCGCATCTTTAAGAAATATCACTAAGAAATGGTATCAAATGAACAGCTGTAATTTCTCTGATTTTGCCTCGGAGGTGGTATTTAAAGCATCCTTTTGAACATGAAAGTTATTGTGCATCAATCTTTTTCAACATGGAGCCTCCAAAACAGAGGCTATCAGGTTTGAAAAAGCTGCTCTAAAAGCACAACTTAGGGCACAAATATTCACAGAAATAGTAGATCTATCTGTGTCTTTAAACAAACACCAGGAAGCTTCAGAAATGGAGCGAGAAATTCAACCATAACTGTGGGAATGGACAAAAAAATCTGAATTAACTCTCCTGTCTCCCATTCCATAACACTGCTTTTCCCACTTCAAAATTATTGCATTCCCTGCTGTGATTTCTTTCATAATGGAAATTCAGATAGCATATTCTATATTGCTTTTTATGGAAGTGAAATAGCCGATTCACGAAATGGGGATTAGCCAGAAAAAATGTAGAGGGAAAATCTTCCCTAATTTATCATAACCGTTGCCCCTTATTCAGTTACAACCCTTTATATACCTAGTGACTCTTGACCTTGTTTCTACTCAGTTTTATCCAGACAATGGAATCAAGGAACATCATTTTTGCCTGTGGATGAGTAGGGTACATTCTTGATTATTTCTTCTAGCTTTCTCTATTTTTCAAATACTACTCTCATCAACATCTTTGTGCTATGAAATATAGCCTATCAAGGAGAAAGCTAGGTTGTGCCATTCCACTGATAAGGTTCATCCTTCATACAGAGAAATGATTCTCCCACCCATCACAAAAGCATTCAAAAATGTGACTCTTTTTCTTATTAGTCCTTGAAATTGTGGGTGGTTGTACCTTTAGGCAGAATGATTGTAAGTTCCATGAAAGGGCAGCACATAGTTAATTATTCAGTAATGGTAATTACATAAAGGAGGAGAGGGGTATCAATGGGATTTTCTACCTTCAATGCAGATCAGACTCAGATGATTCCAACTCATCTGGGTTGTGTGACACAAGCAGCATGGTCTGGAAAACGCAGGACATAAAGTCCTCCTTCATTTCTGTCAGCTCTAAAGCAGGCATGTCAAACTCGTGACATCACATGATGTTGCACAACGTATCGGGAGTTTTTCCCCATTGCCAACAATGGGGTGGGTGCGGTCTCGGCATGATGCATCCGGCCCGCGGGCCAGCAGTTTGACATGCCTGCTCTAAAACAACAGTGGTGGATAGCCAAGATTTGGTGGTGGATAGCCAAGAGCTTGACTAAAGAATGATAAGAAATTGATAATATGAGAGGAAAAGTGCCAGACATTACATAGATTTCAGAGGCATGTGGAAATTCTTCATCCACACAGGGAACCAGCATAACACTGCATCTTTCCCCTGCCTTACAGAGGTAACTTCTTAGCAAGTGAATTGCAAAGTAAAGTAGGAACATATTCTGCTGTACATGCCAGAGACAATCACACACGCACGCACACATACATACACCGAGGCATCTTTTTTGGTAGTTCAAATTTGGCAAGGACAGAAGCTGCAGCATCACTGTTGGAACTGCACATGTTGCCTAGAATTTGAAACCTACTCGAGATGTTACGTGCATTAGTAACCAACGTCACAGTTTTGACATCAGCAGGGCTCTAAACTGGCAGCAGAATGAGCCTGCACATTCCACAGCACAGCCTACGTCAGCAGCAACTGGAGTGGGTTGAAAACACCCATTATTTTTGATAACTGAAATTCTTATTTCTTCTATCACAATCCAAATTTTGACACACATAATTCTGGACTGCATTTGCAGATTCATGTAACTGATCGTAACAAGTCAGGCTTTGGGAAAACCTTCCCCAGCCTTCCAGATATGTTAGGTTTACACATCCCATTGTTCTCAGATATATGGAGTTGAGGATTATGGAAGTTGCAGTCTTGACATGTGTGTAGAATGCTTTGTTGGAAAAAGTTATTCCAGATGATCTGGTTCCCTTTTAAATGTAGTTTCTAATATATATGTCAAGCTTCTTTGCAGTCCACACTCTCCTAGGTATAGCAGTCCTTAACATCTATTTTTGGTTTCAGGTCTCAGAAGTGTAAGAACGGGAAAAAGAAGTATGGACGTTGTTGAGTGCATTTTCAACTCTAGCAGAGAAGGAGTAAGCGTTGGGCTGGCAAAACTAAATTCTAGACAAGTCAACACTTCTTTTCACTATTGCATTGGCCACATGTTCTTTCTTCCTACCGGAAATGTTATCACCTATGTTAAAAAAAACTCCAGGAATAATATACATTCTTCTTATGAAGGAGAATAGGCTAATTAGCTGATTCAATTAATGGAGCCCCCATTACAAAAGTAATATTCCTCTGTATGCCAGAATCATCTAGGAAATAAGCAGCAAAGAAAGAACATTTCGCTACCCACTGAGTGCATTGCTAGTGGCCTCCTTAGTTCTTGCAACGAAATGCTGATATAGTTCAAGCATTTTTTCTGCCATAGCAAAATAATTTTGTTACCCATCTTCTTCCCCTTCTCCCCTCCAAAGCGTGATCCTGAGACACAAAAGAACACAACTATTATAACACAAAGCCTATAATTAAAGCAAGTTGTAATAAGTCATCCTGCTGCATTGAAACATGCATGTGAACACACACACATATATACAATGCTAATTTTTGCTACTTTCCAAAGCCCTTGTTCTCCCCAGGACTGTCCTCCTTCATAATTAGATGTTATTATGATTTCCAGATAGTAACCTTTTCAAATTCAATCCCCTTCAATCTCTCTCTGTCACTGTCTCTGTCTCTGACTCTCTCTCTTTCTCTCTCTCTGTGTGTGTGTGTGTGTGTGTGTGTGTGTGTGTGTGTACTGAATGGCAGTGCCCTTATCCTCAGTCTCCTGCACTTATTTCATACTTAACACTGAAGTGATATTTTAGATCCTCACAAACATGTATGTATTGTTAAGATATTTCTTGGTAATCCTATTTACCTTTTAAATTGAACATGAAGGCTATCAGGCTGGGAGAATGACAATGGGCATATACAACCATTTTTAAGCTTTGATTATGTTTTTAAAAATCCAACTTCAAAGAGATTGCACTATTTCATTACTGTATCTCTTACTGCCAGCTATATAATTATCTGCCCTATAACTTGGCCTTCATATCATAAATGGGACATAGAAAATAAATTCTTAACTCAGTTCTTTAGAGTACTTCTCTATTTAAATGTCAATAAATATTTATATACACTTGTATATCCAGCATTCAGATTAATAAAGGAAAAATCAGTCACCAGGTTGGGAAGATTTGGAAGTGTCTTTTGATGGTAAACAGCTTTCTCTTCTCTCTTCCCATCTGCCCATCCCATACAATTGTAACCCACCATTCCACATGCACACAGCAGGTGCACGCCTAAGAGGAATCCCAGAAATATCCAGCAATGATCTACATCGCTCTCCAGATGCGTTGCAGACTATCGGTCCGGCAATCCAACACTTCTAGAGGGCGCCAGATCGGCGAAGGGGCAAAAAGAGCGCGCTACCGCTCACTTCAGACGGATTATACAGTACTGCGGTTGTAATGAAACAGTCAGGAGGATGGCACGCGGCTTGGCTACTGCAGGGAGAAAAAACAGGCGAAAGAGGAGGAAGCGCGGAGCTGAAATCGGGCAAGATGGGGACACGCGATAGCTCGGGGATCGTGGAGAACTAGTTATGGAGCGGGGCGGAGCGGAAGAACGGACGAGAGGCTCTGTGGGGACAACCAAGGAGGAAACATCTCCACGGTATACAACTGCTCTCTGCCTCCTCGATCCGGAAATTCGCTCTGGGAAAGGAGAGCTGCACTGAAGGAGGAGACGAGGGCTCAGAAAGTGCGCCAATCAATAACTCGCTTAGTTTAGAGAAAGGGAGGGAGACGGGCACCCGGAGATGGCTACCTTTGTTTCTTGCAGGCTGGAACCGGTGCTCGTGGTCTGCTGCGCATCCGTGCTATGTTGGGGGTCATTCTCCTTTTCGGTGATTTCGGTCATGGTGCGCTGAGCTGGGGGTCCGGAGCTGAAGCAGATAAATACAGTTCTCCGGAAGGGTTGCGGACCGGAGCTCTACCACCTCTCCTCTCCCACCTTAAATCCAAAGCGCCTCTGCTCCCGCCTCGACGGACCAGGAAGCTTTATTCTCCTGCCCCCCTCCCCCCGGGAGAATTTTTTGAGGGTTAACCTCTTCTTCCACTTTAGTTTCCTTTTAGGAAAACAAAAAACGACCCGTTCTTTAAAGCGACAACAGACGGTCCTCACTCTAGATTAGAAAACTCTGAAGCCGCTGCTGATGGGTCTCCTTACCACTCGGACCTCCCTTTTATGCAAATCGAAACAATTTACAACCCCACGTAGTTACTTTCCCCGCCCTTCTGACTAGCGGTGGTAAAGCTTCCTAGTCTCTAGCTCTGGAGGTTCTTTCAAGTTTGTCATAATCGGTACGCGCGCGCGCGCGTGTGTGTGTATGTATGTATGTATGTATGTATGTATAATATAATTAGAGACACATATGTATGTATATATATAATCACCAAATCTCGCAAACACACCACTACTTTTATTAAGATATGAGTTCGTTAACCTTGCCCTTTTCTTTTGATGTGGTAATAGTGAATGTTAGATCAGGGGTCCCCAACCTTGGCAACTTTATGACTGGTGGATTTCAACTCCCAGAATTCCTCAGCCAGCATAGCTGCAAAGAACAGCAGGCTGAGGAATTCTGGGAGTTGAAGTCCACAAGTCATAAAGTTGCCAAGGTTGGAGACCCCTGTGTTAGATAACCTTCTCCCATAGGCCATTATGCCCCACAAATAGATGGATGGATACTCTTTATCAATAGAGGGATCCACACTAGGAAATTATATGTGTACCTAAATCTGACAGAAAAAGAAAGAAATTCTAAAACTATAGTATTCAAAAGAGACAATCAACAAACCAAAAAGGGAGCAAAAAGACCTCCTTACCAGTAATCAGCATCCAGATAAGCACAGATTAATTTCAAGATTAACATCAAACCAACAATCAAGTAAACAATACCCCAATCAAGGAACTACCAAACAAGCAAACAGTAAACAGCCCCACCAAAGAACCTCTGAGACCACCAACACCAACACTGACAGGTCAAGCCACTAGAGTGTAAACTGAGAGCCAATCCCACTCCTTACTAGCACTGATGATGTTATCTAGTTTGAGTAATGAAACATCTGCAAGAAAACAACCAAGCTCAGAAAGCATGATGACCTATTCCTAATCTGGGCTTTAAAATTGTGGTGCATTTATCACCACTATAATTGATAGTGCACCTCACTGCTGGCTGTCCTTGCTTCTACTTTTAAACTGAACATACCTGATTTAATAAATTAACCGTTTATCGGATTATTTCCCTTTGGAGGAAAGACAGCCAAAGTCTGTTGAATGCCTAACATCTTCAAGTATGAAATATCATATTTTGATGCTAGTCCACTAATTTTTCCATCATTTATTTAAGTATAGTGGGAGCTTTAAAGCAAAGTGAACAAACTAGCATGCCACGTTAGCTCTACGGTACCATATTGTACTACCCCCTTGAGCTTTCTGTGTTCCTGCAAACGGTAGACAACCCTGTGAAATACTTGCAAATAAACTTTTCCTCAGTTCCCAGTTCTGATAGGATTAAAATACTATGGCAACTCCATGTTGCTCCTTGTTCACACGATACAAACTTTTCTTGTCCCTAGGCTGTCCCTTCATAGGTCAGCAAATAAGCTCTTTTATTTAAATTATTTTGTGCAATTGTATGAAAATCCTAAAGATGTTTTTGCAAAAGACAGCCAGACTTTTTTGTTTTTTCTTTGAAAATTTTTTTCTCTCTGAAAATGTTTTGCTTCTTAGTTGCCATTTGGAAGAGCACCTTTGAGACAACTGTGACCTGGATGATTGAAAATCTCCATAGACAAATTGTATGTAAACTTTTTTTGTCTTTTATCATGCCTTGCCTATTGAGAACTGTGATCAGGCCAGCTTTGATCAATTTTGGGTGGAGGGACTGAGCCATCCTCCTTGCCTTAAGATATTCTCACCTCACCCCATTCATAACAATGAAAACAATGCTTTTTGGGGAGAGCAGCCAAAACAATAGCAAGAGCCAGGCGAACTGGCAAGACTTTCTTTTTGAACAGCAAGAGTTTCTCACTCTAAGAAATGCAAGTGAAGGCAAGCTCTTATCTCTCTTCCTTTTCAAGATATCACATGGGGGGCTTGATTTGTTCAGCTCTTAGCATGCTTGCGTCTGCACAAATTTCAGTTTCAGGTTCTTAGGAAAGTTTACAGGAATCTCTCCTCCCTTTCAAAGTACTCTTTTCTGGGCTGAGATTCCTCTTTAGGAAAGAGCAGCATTATTCCTTTTTGGGGGAGATTCCATGTGCCTTGCTGTTGAAAGTGGAATATGGAAAACCAACATAAGGACATTAGCTAAGGTGTGGCTATTCCTCACAACTGAGTAAAATACTACTCACTGTTCCTTCAGTGGGAAGAACATAACATCAGCATAACATTTGTAATTCTTATTCTTAATGCCTATTATGACTTTTGTGCGTCTATTCCAAACCATTATGTTGTTCTGATGTCAGTTATATGTAAGATGGTCAGTTTTCTCCCCCAGATTTGCTGCTCCTCCCCCCTTTCAGCATACGATACATACATACATCTATCAATGGGGCACTGTAGCAGAAATGGATTTCTCACAGTCACATAAGGAGGGTTAATGGATAAAATATGTATCATGACGCTAATTTTGCTCCTACAAACCTCTGTAACCCATGGCACAAAAAGACTGAGCTTCTGCCATGACATACCAGCATGGTAATTTTAGTTAGATTCAGACATCTATTTCACATTTCATTGGGTCGTCACTAAGTTTGGAGAAAGCCATAGCAATACCCCCTTTATGGATTACTGCCTTGTCGTGGCGAAGGGGCTTGCGTAACTCAATGAAGCTATAAGCTATGCCATGCAGGGCCACCCAAGATGGACAGGTTATAGCAGAGAGTTCTGACAAAATGTGATCCACTGGAGAAGGAAATGGCAAACCACTCCAGTATCTTTGCCATGAAAACCCCATGGACAGTACTAAAAGGCAAAAAGATATGACACTGGAAGATGAGCCCCTCAGGTCGGAAGGTGTCCAATATGCTACTGGGGAAGAGCAGAGGGCTAGTACTTGTAGCGCCAGAAAGAATGAAGCGACTGGGCCAAAGCCGAAAGGACATTCAGCTGTGGATATATCTGGTGGTGAAAGGAAAGTCCGATGCTGTAAAGATTTTTTCTCCATAGGAACCTGGAATGTAAGATCCATGAATCAAGGCAAGCTAGACGTAGTCAAAAAAGAGATGACAAGACTGAACATCGACATCTTAGGAATCAGCGAACTAAAATGGACAGGAATGGGTGAATTTAACTCAGATGACCATCAGGTATACTACTGTGGGCAAGAATCCCTCAGAAGAAATGGTGTAGCCTTCATAGTCAATAAAAGAATAGGAAAAGCAATACTGGGATACAATCCCCAAAATGACAGAATGATCTCAATTCGAATCCAAGGCAAACCATTCAATATCACAATAGTCCAAATCTATGCCCCAACCACTGGTGCTGAAGAGGATGAAATTGACCGGTTCTATGAAGCCCTACAGCACCTTATAGAATTAACACCAAAAAATGATGTCCTTATCATCATGGGGGATTGGAATGCTAAGGTAGGAAGCCAAAAGATAACCGGAATAACAGGCAAGTTTGGCCTTGGAGTACAAAATGAAGCAGGGCACAGGCTAATAGAATTTTGTCAAGAGAATACGATGGTCATAACAAACACTCTTTTCCAACAACCCAAGAGACGGCTCTACACATGGACATCACCAGACGGTCAACATAGAAATCAGATTGACTATGTGCTCTGCAGCCAAAGATGGAGAAGCTGTATACAGTCAGTAAAAACAAGACCAGGAGCTGACTGTGGCTCAGATCATGAGCTTCTCGTTGCAAAATTTAGGCTTAAATTGAAAAAAGTAGGGAAAAGCACTAGGCCACTCAGGTATGAACTAAATCATATTCCTGATGAATATACAGTAGAGGTGACAAATAGAGTTAAGGAATTAGATCTGATAGACAGAGTGCCTGAAGAACTATGGATGGAAGTTCACAACATTGTACAAGAGGTAGCAACTAAAACCATCCCAAAGAAAAAGAAATGCAAGAAAGCAAAATGGCTGTCTGAGGAAGCTTTGCAAATAGCTGAGGAAAGAAGGGAAGCGAAAGGCAAGGAGAAAGAGAAAGATACACCCAATTGAATGCAGAATTCCAGAGAGTAGCTAGAAGAGATAAGAATGCCTTCTTAAATGAACAGTGCAAAGAAATAGAAGAAAACAACAGAATAGGGAGGACCAGAGATCTCTTCAAGAAAATTGGAGATATGAAGGGAACGTTTCATGCAAAGATGGGCATGATAAAGGACCAAAATGGCAGAGACCTAACAGAGGCAGAAGAGATTAAGAAGAGATGGCAAAACTACACAGAAGAACTATACAAGAATGAGCTTAACATCCCAGATAACCACAATGAGATGGTCACTGACCTCGAACCAGACATCCTAGAATGTGAAGTGAAATGGGCCTTAGAAAATCTGAGCAACAACAAAGCTAGTGGAGGTGACAGTATTCCAGCTGAGCTATTCAAAATCTTAAAAGACGATGCAGTAAAAGTGCTACACTCAATTTGCCAGCAAATTTGGAAAACTCAACAGTGGCCACAGGATTGGAAAAGGTCAGTTTACATTCCAATTCCAAAGAAAGGCAATGCCAAAGAATGTTCAAACTATCGCACCATTGCACTCATTTCACATGCTAGTAAAGTTATGCTTAAAATCCTACAAGCTAGACTCCAGCAGTATGTGGATCGAGAACTACCAGAAGTACAGGCAGGATTTCGAAGAGGCAGAGGAACTAGAGATCAAATTGCCAACATACGCTGGATCATGGAGAAAGCTAGGGAGTTCCAGAAAAACATCTACTTCTGCTTCATTGACTATGCTAAAGCCTTTGATTGTGTGGATCACAACAAATTGTGGCAAGTTCTTAAAGAGATGGGAGTACCAGACCATCTCATTTGTCTCTTGAGAAACCTATATGCGGGTCAAGAAGCAACAGTGAGAACTGGACACGGAACCACTGATTGGTTCAAAATTGGAAAAGGAGTCCGGCAAGGCTGTATACTGTCGCCCTGCCTATTTAACTTATATGCAGAGCACATCATGAGAAAGGCAGGGCTAGATGAATCAAAAGTTGGAATTAAGATTGCCGGGAGAAATATCAACAACCTAAGATATGCAGATGATACCACTCTAATGGCAGAAAGTGAAGAGGAACTAAAGAGCCTCTTGATGCGGGTGAAGAAGGAGAGTGCAAAAGTTGGCTTGAAACTCAACATTAAGAAAACCAAAATCATGGCATCCGGCCCTCTCAATTCC